AAGCAAGTCTCAACAAATTAAAAAAAAAAAAAACTTGACATATACCAAGAATCCTCTTGGGTCATAGTGGAAGAAAAATAGAAATGAATACAAAGAGGAACTCTCAAAAACAAACAAATACATGAAAACTAAAGAACTTGCTCCCGAATGACTTTTGGGTAAAGAACAAAATTAAGGCAGAAATAAAAAAAATATTTGAAACAATGAAAATCAAGATATAACATACCAAAACCTCTAGGATGCAGCAAAAACAGTGTTAAGAAGAAAGTTTATAGTGCTAGATGCCTACATGAAAAAGAAAAATCTCAAATTAACAACCTAATGTCACACCTAAAGGAACTAGAAAAACAAGAACAAATTAAACACCAAAACTAGCTGAAGAAATAATAAAAATCAGAGCAGAACTAAATGAAGTTGAGACTAAAAGAACTATACAAGGATTGACGAAATGAAAAAAATGGTTCTTTGAAAGGATAAACAAGATCAATAAACCACTAACTAGGTTAGTAATTACCCAGAAATATACAGCCTCCAAAGATTGAATCAGAAAGAAATTGAAACCCTGAAGAGAACAGTATTGAGTTCCAAAATTGAATCAGTAATAAAAACCTTACCAACTAAAAAAAAAAGTCCTTGACTAGATGGATTCACAGCCAAATTCTAACAGATGAACAAAGAAGAGCTGATACCAATTCTACTGAAACTATTCCAAAATATCAAAGAGGAGGGACTCCTCCCTAACTGATTCCACAAAACCAGTATCATGCTGATACCAAAATCTGGCAAAGACACAACAAAAGTTGAAAACTACAGGCCAATATCCCTGATGAACACAGATGCAAAAATCCTCAACAAAATACTGGCAAATGGAACACAGTAGCACATCAAAAGGTAATCCACCACGATCAAGTGGGCTTCATTCCTCAGATGCAAGGGTGATTCAATATATGCAAATCAATAAGTGTAAAAAGAGAATTTAAAACAAAAACCATATGATCATATCAATAGATGCAGAAAAAACATTAGATAAAATCTAACATCTTTTTAGGATAAAAACCCTCAACAAACTAGGCATTGAAGACAAAACTACAGTCAATATTATACTTAATGGAGAAAAGTTGAAAGGGTTTCCCCTAAAATCTGGAACAAAACAGGGTGGTCCACTTTCGCCACTCCTATTCAACACAGTACTAAAGTCCTAGCAAGAGCAATCAGCCAAGAGAAAGAAATAAAAGGCATCCAAAGAGGAAGTCAAGTTATCTCTCCTCACTGACAATAGGATTCTACACCTAGAAAACCCTAAAGATCCTGCCAAAAGACTCCCAGACCTGAAACATGACTTCAGCAAAGTTTAAAGTTACAAATTCAAAGTACAAAAATCAGGAGTTTGCATTAAAACAACACATTTAAGAAAAAAAATCAGAAGCATTTCTATAAACCAATAACATTCAAGCTGAAAAGCAAATCAAGAGCACAATCCTGTTAACAACAGCCACACACACACAAAATCAAACCTAGGAAAACAAAAAACCAACAGCTAAAGAAGTATTTGCTTCACTTTGATCAATCATTTTTCCCTCCAATAAACTGTACTGGCTGACCAAGAAGTACTGAATTTACATTAAAAATGGGTAACTCATCAAGCAAGTAAATGCTCTTCAGTCAGACATCATCAAAGATTCACCCATTTCCAAACTTGCAAAATTTTTGCATCACTAAAAACAATAAGGCTTTGGTAGTGATCAGCATTAGATACTGCTCATTAACTTGATTTGAACAAGAAGGGCACAGCATTGGTGTTTTGTCTTTTGTGGATTTTTTGTTTGTTTGTTTGTTTGAGATGGAGTCTTACTCTGTCACCCAGGCTGGAGTGCAGTGACACGATCTTGGCTCACTGCAACTTCCACATCCTGGGTTCAAACGATTCTGCCTGGCTAATTTTTATATTTTTAGTAGACACAGGGTTTCACCATGTTGGCCAGGCCAGTCTTAAACTCCTGACCTCAAGTGATCCGCCTGCCTCGGCCTCCCAAATTCCTGGGATTACAGGCGTGAGCCACCACACCTGGCTGAATTTGAGAGTAATTTGAACAATGGTAAACAAATGTGAATGACTGTTGACTATCTCATCTAAGATAATTTTTTTAAATTTGGATTTACAGTGCCACAATGTCATTTCACCTAAGCAGGTCAACTATTTCATAAAATTATATTGTTTTCCTCTGACAACAAGAAAGATGTAATTAATCTCTGTTAGACATATTCAGAAAGGTTTGTTTTCTGTATCTGGTATGATTTTTTTTTTCTCATTAAAAGAAAAATTCCTGTGAAACAAGTTGAGAATCTAGCCACTTAAGGAATACTAGAAGCCTCAGTTCACTAACTTTTCACTTCTCATTCTACTCCTTACATTAGTAAACCAAAATACAAAACTCCAAGATTACTAATCTAGGTAGCTAGTCATCAACTATAAGTCCAATATTTTAACAGTTACAAATAGCTAAAAATGTTGATAAAATATATCAGACAGTATAAGACGTTTGGGACAGGAGAAGAAAACAAACCTGGAAAACCTAGTTATAGTGCTTTGGTAGAATGAATAAGCCTTATGTCTACAGTCAGTGGTTGGGCTTTAAGTCCCAGCTCTACCTGTATTTAGCTGTGGAATCCCTGGAGAAGTTACCTAGTTTTTCTAAGCCTCAGTTTCCCCAGGCCTCCTTCACAGGGATTCTGTGAATGAAAAACACCACCATGTATAAAAGTTAACTTAAAATGTGAAACCATACACTGAATGCACCTAGTTAGGAAGCATAACGACACTTTCTACCCAAACATTAGGGAGAGAGTTGCCCAAAGGCAGCCACCAAGTCCACAGGCTGCTTACTATCATGCAGAGCAATGGCTTTCACTTTCAACTTCCACCTCTGGAAGGGACATTTTTAGGAGTGCTGTAGAGGGAAGGGGGAAGAAGGCAACAATGAAAAAGAATTATTTAAGCAAAATGTCTACTTGTTATGAATCAAGAGACTGCATGAGGTTCAAAGAGCAATGCCAATAGAAGCAAACTAAAACACTGATGTTTAGCATCCCTATACATATTTTTGCCCAACTAGAAATCATTAATAGCAAGTTTAAATAATCTGATTTATCAATATAAAAATCAAAAGGGAAAACAACCCACAGACTACAAAACATTATAAATAGGAATTAAACAGAGTAGCCACATACACAGCCAAAGTGCCCCATCCCCAATTCCCCCCTGCCCCAATACAAGAGTACAGGTGAAGAGACAACAACAGGAATATGTTTGGGTCATTATTTTCACTTTAGGTGAAGATGTATTTGATGATCTCACTCATTCTGAGCAAACGGGAAATATACAATTAGATATGTTGGAATGCTGGAACAAAAGAGAACAGAAAAAGTGGCTTCAATATGTGAGTAATGTTTGCAGTGTACCCACATAACAGATTACTGGAAACTGCTAAGTTGGTGAAAATCTAAACAAAGAATTTGATTTTTAATTCTTAGTGATGTTATTAATGACTCAATTAAATAGCATCAAAAACCATCTGATCTTCAACAAACCTGACAAAAACAAGCAATGGAGAAAGATTCCCTGTTTAATAAATGGTGCTGGGAAAACTGGCTAGCCGTCTGCACAAAGCTGAAACTAGACCCCTTTCCTGACACCTTACACTAAAATTAACTCTAGATGGATTAAAGATTTAAACATAAAACCTAACACAATAAAAACCCTAGAAGAAAAACTAGGCAAAACCATTCAGTACATAGGCATAGACAAGGATTTCATGACTCAAACACCAAAAGCAATGGCAAAAAAAGCCAAAATAGACAAATGGGATCTAATTAAACTTAAGAGTTTCTGCACAGCCAAAGAAACAATCATTAGAGTGAACAGGCAACCAATAGAATGGGAAAAAATCTTTGCAATCTACGCATCTGACAAAGGCCTAATATCCAGAATCTAAAAAGAACTAAAGCAGATTTACAAGAAACAAACAAACCAACCCATTCAAAAGTGGGCGAAGGATATGAACAGACTCTTTTCAAAAGAAGACATTTATGAAGCCAACAAACATGAAAAAATGCTCATCATCACTGGTCATCAGGGAAATGCAAATCAAAACCACACTGAGATACCTTCTCATTCCAGACAGAATGGCTATCATTAAAAAATCTGGAGACAACAGATGCTGAAGAGGATGTGGAGAAAATGGAACACTTATACACTGTTGGTGGGAGTGTAAATTAGTTCAACCATTGTGAAAGTCAGTGTGGCAACTCCTCAAGGATCTAGAAATAGAAATTCCATTTAACCCAGCGATCCCATTACTGGGTATATACCCAAAGGATTATAAATAGCTCTATTATAAAGACACATGCACATGTTATATTCACTGCAGCACTGCTTACAATAGCAAAGATCTGGAACCAACCCAAATGCCCATCAATGATAGACTGGACAAAGAAAATGTGGCACATATATACCATGGAATACTATGCAGCCATAAAAAAGGATGAGCTCATGTCATTTTTAGGGACATGGATGAATCTGGAAACCATCATTCTCAGCAAACTGACACAAAAACAGAAAACCAAACACTGCATGTTCTCACTCATAGGTGGGTGTTGAACAATGAGAACACATGGACACAGGGAGGGGAGCATTACACACTGGGCTTGGTGTGGGGGGATGGCAAAGGGAGGGACAGCGGCAGGTGGGGAGGCTGGGAGGGACAACTTGAGGAGAAATGCCAGTTACAGGTGATGGGGGATGGAGGAAGCAAACCACCTTGCCAAGTATGTACCTATGCAACAATCCTACATGATCAGCATATGTACCCCAGAACCTAAAATACTTTTTTAAAGCATTTAAAAATGCAATAGTATCTGTTATATGGAGTTATACATGCAGACAAGATGAAGACAGAAAAATCATCCCGCTTTCTTTACACATATAGAACTTAAAAACTTACTAGATTCCACCGTCATCTGGAGCAAACTATCAGTAACATTAGACAGGAGTCCTTTACTGGATATTCTTAGATGACTTAATATTACTGGAACAGCTTGATACTCTAAAAACAAGGTTTTTCCTTCTTCTGTCTTCAAGTCCAAACAAAGAGAATCAAATGCCTGAGCCAGGTAATCAGCTGGAAAATAGTATGTACAATCAACTGTAGTTTTGCTAGTCTAGGTGGCAATCAGAAACAGACGGTAAAAAAGCAATGTCATTACTCTAACAAACTCAAAAGAGAAACAAAAATTAAATAAATAAGAGATCACAATCTAAATTTAGATTCTAACTAATTTGTCAGAACTCAAATGGGCAAGGAGAGAGGAGACATTATGATTGGATAAATTTCATTTAGAATTTTCCTGTTTTACCACCAAAATAACAAATAAGCCCCATTTTTTAATACGAAGGAAGCCCCAATATTTAATAGTAAGGAAGAAAAACAATGTTTATTAGTAAGTATCACAAATAATGTATATTTTCCATATTTGATGACCACTACATACTTACAAAAACTTAGTATTTCTATTTTTATAATAGCTTTCTAAGATTTTATGCTTTTTGTTGCTGTTTCTAAATGTTTACCTATTTCAAAATGTAACTTTATAAAAACATGCTAAATAGACTTTAAATAAGGATTTCTGCCTCCTAGTAAAGCTGAAACAAAAGGCCATTCAAAGATAACTTCAGAAGACTGAATATGCTGTGGTGTGTCACTTTTCATGATACATCTACCATTAAGAATGGCAGCAAGATTTTACCCAGGTCAGCACTGTGATGACTGCTGAATCAGAATCCATGAAACTTTCTTAAGGATGTCTCACAGATGACTGGGAAGCCTGTAAGCACAGGACTGGGAAGCACCAATCTAACCAGAATCAATGCAAATGAAGTAGTAAGATACTTGCATCATTACACTTCAGTACACTACACAACCCAAGTTCCTACTCTTAACACAGTCTTAACTTGTGATTTTAATGTACAATAATCAAGTTTTCTAAAACTCTCCTTTCAAAATGTTATTCAAAGGAATAAAAAACTATTCATACTATCCAAGTCATAGTTAATTTTTCTACTGAGATTTCCATTTAAAGAAAAGAGCACCATGAAATACTGAAAGTACAACAGAATCACCGTATTAAAATTGACTCTTTTGTAGCCTCACGTTGCATTTCTTCTTTGCTATTTCAACTTACATAATAAATAATTTAAAACCCTTGTTATTAAGAATGAGAAATTGAGAATAACTTCTGTGAAGTTGAAATACATATGAAACTATTTTGAGAAATTAAGATCTGTGCCTCTGGATCAACTTATAGTACGCTCCATTTTTACCACTGGTAGAATTTTGTTCAAGGAACACCAACATTACTGTACTTAATTTTGTGGTTTAAAAAAACATTGTAAATAAATGCGTATTAAGTTAAACGAAGTTGCTAGATTCTATTCAGACTAATCTTCTTTAGAAACATCTTTTTTTTTTTTTTTTTTTAGCAACAACACAGGTGGAAGAGGACAGTCAATTGAAGCCTGAGATTAACGCTTTACAGAAACAAAAGTTTTATCACAGTGCCACCTACTGTATTTGACACGAATTATTCTTAGTATATAATTTGACCAGATTAAACAGGTTGAATACAGTATTTAAAAATAGGCTGACTACTATATGGTATTGTTTGCAAACTTTAAAAAATTGTCCCTTATTAATTTTGAGGATTAGAAAACTGTATTTGGTTACTTTTTCACAAGTGACCTTATATTTTAGGAATAAATCAAAGCTATGTCCTCATTTTAATTTTGTCTTCATTTTAATTTATTGAATGGTTCAGATTTTCTAAAAACAAGATCAGTTTAACTTTTAAAAGGGTATTTTAAAAATTTTAGTTAACAATTATATCGAAGTTGATTTATTTTTGTTATATTATTGAATCTCTTAACAATGTCCTGACAATCAAATGTTAACCTTTTTTATTCCCTAACAAAGGTCAAACTTCAAACTGTTCATCTTAATCAGTATCAAATAGGGGTTTTCCATTATTTTGTTTATATGGCAGATTAAAAAATGATTAGAAAGTGTTTCGCAGAAACACTCCTATCAAAAGGTGAACTCTACTGCCCACCCTTTGAATCTAGTCTAACCTTGTGACTTAACCAATAAAATGCAACAGAAATGATGCTGTGTGAATTAGGAGCCTGAGGCTCGGTTAGATACTCTTTACCTATAAACAGGTCCCTGGAGAGAGGCCAACCAAGAACAGGAGAATTTAGCCCAGCCCAGCCAGATATCCAGCTGAGCTGAGCACAAATCACCAACCAAAAGAACTGTGAGCAGGTAAACAAAATGGTGGTTGAACTAAGTCACTAAGTGTACGGCAGTTTATTATGCAGGAATAGACAACAAATGTAGTCTAACAGACCTCAATTCTGATCTCAAGTAAAACCAACTCTTAAAAGTTTAATGTCTACTGATAAAATAGTAGTTATCAGTATATACAAAACAATAGTATTTCAGAGATTGAGCATAACATACTGATTAAGGGTGCAGGCTAAACATTTTGATGCCTCAATTTCCTCATTTGTAAAATTACAATATTAATAATATTGACATCTCATGAACTGCTGTAAGGATTAAATGAGTTAATATAAAGTGTTTGGCCTATAACATAGTAAGTGCTATGTAGGTGTTTGTTGTTATTTCTTTGGTTATCTCAGGAAGTGCATGCTCTTAGGTAGTCATAAAGTAGGCTTAAGAAAGTAGGCTTCAGCAATTGATAGAGCTGGACTAAATTAGACTCTGTCAAATGCAGATTGTATCACTTCCCTTCGGCACAATTACCTACTTTTGTAAACCTCATCGCTAATATGAGGATAACAGCGTTCAGAGATAAGGTATAAAGAGCTTAGCATCTGTGGTGTTAGGCCATAGATTTTCCCCTCTTGTTAGTCTTTTGTTATGATGTTGAGTTTGTTAGGCCTCTGGGGCAGGTCTCTGACCTTCTCCTGCCCTCCTTTCACAGACTTTTTGATTGTGGGACTTAAGACCCTCCCCAGAGAGAGTCCTGCCCTATATCCTGGGGGACAGAATTGTGACATCACGAAGCACCCATAAAAACCCAAAAGAATGGCTGAGCACGATGGCTCACACCTGTAATCCTAGCACTTTGGGAGACCGCGGTGGGCGGATCACCTGAGGTCAAGAGTTTGAGACCAGCATGGCCAATGTGGTGAAACCCTATCTCTACTAAAAATACAAAGATTACCTGGGCATGGTGGCAGATGCCTATAATCCCAGCTCCTCAAGAGGCTGAGGCAGGAGAACTGCTTGAACCCAGGAGGTGTAAGTTGCAGTGAGCCAAACACCATCACACTCTAGCCTGGGCAACAAGAGCAAAACTTTGTCTCAAAAAAACAAAAACAAAAAAACGAGAACTGGGTTCAGAGAGCTCATAGAACTCAGGGAAACACTTAATGCTTACGAGTTTATTATAAAGGATATTGTAAAGGGTGTAGATGAAGAGAGAGACTTAGGGCAAGGTGAAGGGGAAGGGACATGGAACTTCTATGCCCTCCCTGGGGCATCATGCTCCAGGAACCTTCATGTGTCCAGCTGGAGCATGATG